GTCCCATAAACTTCCCAGGCCTCCTAATTGGCATCCACATTCAGAGGGCTTGGTTCAGTCCAACGCTGGTTCCCCAGCTTTATGACTGGGGACACAGTGCTCTCATTAGGTCTGGGCAGGTGTTTCTGTAGGTTCCTCCAGCATGGTCTTGATTTCTTTGTTCATCATCCTCCTGATCTACACCTGGATTCCAGGAGTATGGCTCAGTGCTTAGCTATGGGTACCTGCTTCTGCTTGATTCATCAACTGGATGAAGGCTCTAGGAATGCAATTAAGATACTCATTAATCTCATTATAGGGCAAATGCATCAAAGGCAGCATCTCCACTACTACCTACATTTTTATAAAAAAAAAATAGTCACAAATGTTTTCCTTGTGTGTGAAATCACTTTGAGAGGAATTCCACTGAGTGGAGTCCTCCATAAGACACTTTGATAATGCAATCTGTTTGATTTCCAGTTCTGGTTTCTTTAGTGTAAAAAGGATGCTTCAGGAAACATGGGAAGCATTCTGATCTCAAACTCCTAAATTCTTGGAGTTACTTTCTTAATTTTTTACTAGAGTCTCACCTACTCTTACCTAACTGACAATATTTACTCTTATTTTTCCTTGTGAATCAAATTTGCAGAATTTTTAGTTAGGTTTTCAAGAAATAGTAGCTTTTTTACCTTTTAATCAGATTACTTATTTGATTTTGGATATTGCTAATTAAATTGTCATTATAGCATTGATGAAAACAAGTTTGTTGACATGCATACAAAGAACAGTTACAATGAACAAATAAGAGGAAAAGAGCAAGCCACTCAACAGACACTGCAAACATTTTTATTTACTTGTAGATCACAGTAGGGATCATCAGCTACCACTGATACAAAAGAGGAAGCAAAACGATACCATAGTATCCTAAGACACTGCAGAGTTTAGAGAAGGAGCGAGGTATATTTTAAACGGCAAATGAAAGGGGAATTAGTACTGGAGCTTACTTCTTACTTCTTTTTGCTTTCATCAGATCCAACATTGTTCCAAGGTTTGGAGAGAGAAAGTAAGAATTAAAATGTTAGAATCAAAGCATTGGAACATGCCTACTGCATATCTACATATCAGCACTGTAATCTAAGTATGGGATAAATTAGAAACTGACTACTTCACTATTTCACACTAAGAGACACCCTGATACCTGGCCATTTCCACAGTGGTTCCAGTTTCTCCTTCAAACTCACATATTTATCTGTGCTTATTAGAAAAGTAGGTGATAATATAAAAGGCCCTGATTGAACTTTGTAACCATCATCATTCTTGTCCAGGCTTCACAAAATCTGTTTTCTAACATTTGTATTGCAGAAATCTAAATAATTATGAATAATTTCCTTTGAGAGACACATATATCCATATATAGGTGTTAATAGCCTCTCTACGTAGACACTAAGTGAAGTTTCTTTTAACAAATATATTTATTTTTATGGTAATATTTTTATTTAAATTTGAAACAAGCTTGTTGTTCCCTCACCCTCCACTCCTCCACTGTCCCTCCCCAATCTTCATCCCATCCCCTTTCTGCTCCTCAGGGAGGGTGAGGCCTTCCATGGGGGAACTTCAAAGTCTATCCTATCATTTGTACACTAGGAATAAATACTGATCCACTGCCAGAGGCTCCATATACTGCCCAGTCCTCCTAACTAACACCCATGTTCAGGGGATATGCTTTGATCCTGTGATGGTTTCCCAGCTATCAGACTAGGGTCTATGAGTTCCCACTTGTTCAGGTCAGCTGTTTCTGGGGGTATCTCAAGCCTGGTCTTGGCCCCTTCACTCATCATTCCTTCTACTCTCCAACTGGATTCCGGAAGTTTGGCTAAGTGTTTAGTTGTGAGTGTCTCCTTCTGCTTCCATAAGCTACATGGGTCTTAGAAAGCCAGGGCAGTCTAAGGGACCTCTGACAGGATGTATACCTGGTGCACAAAAGGATTTTTGGAAACACATTTCCCATGGTGGGATACTCCCTTAGCCTGGGATACATGTATATGCAGAAATAAAATATACAGCTTTTTTATAACAGTGGAAATATAATTTACTATATAATAAATATAATAACAATGGGAATACAATTCATATACCACAAAAGCCAGCTTTCAAAATTACAAAGTTTAATGTTTCTTTCCACCTCAAATAAACTTTATACATTTACAGTCCTATTCATGGCTTTCCCTTTCTATCCCCTGCCTTTAACTGTTTTCTTTTTATGAGTCTGACTTTTTTCTGAACATAACATCAGTAGCACAGACTCAAGATCAACAATTAATAAATGGGATCTCCTGAACCTGAAAAGCTTCTGCAAGGCAAAGAACACAATATACAAGAAAAAATAGTATCCCACAGAATGGGAAAAGGTATTCACCAACTCCACATCTGGCAGAGGGGTGATCTCCAATGTATACAAAGAACTCATAAAGCTAGTCACCAAATCACCAAATAATCCAATAAAAAAGTTGGGTACAGAACTAAATAGAGAATTCTCAATAGAGGAATCTAAAATGGTTGAAAGACATTTAGGAAAGTACTCAACAGATACATTTCTTCATAAGGAAATAGAATCAATTTTGCTAGGAAATAGAATAAATTTTGGTAGCAACTTCTATAATTTCAGTGTGATTTTAATGTCATTCCACCTATACAATCTTTAAAAATGTGTGTATTGCAGGAGTTTTATATATATATAGTAATAACGCAAATGCTGTCCTGTTAAAGTATGCAGTTCAGTAGTGGTAATCCTGTTCTTCACATGGTAAAATGATCACTAATATACTGAGATTTCACCAAAGGAAACCATGATTTTCATACATTTTAATGACCACTTTTAAAAGCTGAAGGGGCTGGGTATGGTGTCATGCACTTTGATCTTATTGCTTTGGAGGAAAAAGCAGGTGGATCTCTGTGAGTTTAAAATCAGACCAGTTTCCATATTGAGTTCCAAGCTAGCCTGGTTTATATACCAAGAATCTGTCTGAAAAAAATTAAAACTCTAAGTTATATTTTTAGGATAAGGCAGGAGGATTGCTTTGAATTTATGGGCAGCTTGGGCTACAGCAAGACCCTGTCTTAAACCAAAAACGCTAAGTTCAAATTATTCCTCTGTTTGTAACCTGCTCCCTCTTGGTAGTTATTTTCCATTTTCCTGAATAAATCTACATTTTCTATGCTAAAAATATTCAACAAAGTGATCATCCTGCTATATTTCTTATGAGAACAATTTAAGAGTCTTATACTCTGTAAATGTTATGTGTTAGTTGTCAGGTATTCATGTTGAGGTAAGAGGATAATGCCAACCTCTTTTTGATTGTACAAACCAACTTCCATTTGGAATCAAAATAAATACATTAGCTTCATAAGAACAGTAAACACCAGACAGGGAAGTAATACCTCCCAGATCAAACAAGTCTAATAGAGTCAACTCAGTGTTGCTGTCCTTGTGTACAGACATTACATTATATAAACTGTTCTCCTAAGAGAGGAGGTTTGTCCTTTAGATGTCACTCATTGGAACATTTGGTTGTCATGCATCATGTTAAAGATCCATAAACGCCAGCTCAATAGGGTAACTATGATGCATGAAAATACACTCTGCATATCTGCATAGTATTCTGTTCAACAGCTCTTCATGATGCATCACATCAGAGTACTGCTTTCAAATTGCAGAAACATCTAAAATCCCCAGTGAAGCCCTATGAAGTCTTTGCTATAAGGGCTAAAATAGCATAAGAGCAGAAAGTCATCCTAGGCTGAAAAATGCTCTCCTCCCTAAATGAAAGTATTTATTATGTATAAAGTACAAAGGATGAATGTTAGTTTATCTTTCTATTGTAAAAAAAAATAGTAGAATCCATTACTGCTTAATATATAGAATTTACAATCTAACAACATTTTATTTGTCATGTAATTTTGTCATTCCAGAATTTTTTGTTGAGTACATAATGTGGTAATTAAGAATATGCACTCTGAAAAAGCAAATAAAAATATGGATCTCAGAATCTTTTTACCAGTAAAACTTTGGGCACTATTTAACATCAAGTTTTGTTTTTCAAAAGTAAAATGAGAATACTCCAAGTACCAGTCTCAGATGGTTGTTGTATAGGAAAACATTTAGTTAATATGTGGGTAAAGATTATTACAACATTATGTACCAAGGAAGCGCTAATAACACATGCTGCTGTAATGTGTTAGTCTATACCATAAACTAAGTGACTTACACACAACAGAAAACTAGTTCTGTCAGTTTGGATCTGAGGAAGTACAAGTTTTAAGTGACTACCAAATATAATGTCTGGTAAGTATCTATTCCTCATAGCTGTTGCGTCTTGATAATTCCTAACATAATCAAAGGGATTAGCTTAGTCTCTGAGGTCTCTTTTATAAAGGCACTGTCTTAGCTGCATTTTATTGCTGTGATAAAACACCATGACTAAGGCAACTTTTATAAGAAATAGTTTATTGGTTGCTTGAAGTTTCTGAGGTTGAGTCTATGACCATCATGATTGATCAGATGGCAACAGGAAGATGCAGTGTTGGAGCAGTAGCTGATAGCTTACATGCCATCCACAAGCAAGAGTCAGAAAGAGTTAACTGGGAATGTCATGGGTTTTGGGAACCTCAAAGGCCACCCCCATTGACACACCTCCTAATCCTTTTCAAACAGACCCACCAACTGAGGGGCAAGCATTCAAATATATGACCTTATGGGGGCCATTCTCATCCAAACCATCACAGGTACTAATCTCAAAATTCACTTTTCAAACACACATGCCTCCTAATATCATTGCCAGAGAGCTTACAGTTTATATGCATCGATGATATTATTTTTTAGCTTTTTTAACATATGAACACTTTCAGATCATAGAGTGAGCATATCTGACATTATACCCCAAACAGAATTATATGTCTTATAGTTCCAACATGTTTATATTTCTTTGTTTTCAAGGTATTTTAATCTTTTAATTCACTCATAGGTACTTCGGGGAGAAATTGCACCTCTTAAAGAGAACATCAATCAAGTCAATGACCTTGCTCGCCACCTTACCACATTGGGCATTCAGCTCTCACCTTATAACCTCAGCACTCTGGAAGATCTGAATACCAGATGGAAGCTTCTGCAGGTAGGCATGCTATGAGCAACATTGCCCCTTGCTACAATACAACGACATGTACATAAAGTTTGTTTGTAAGGAACAACAAAAGTTTGTTTGTAAGGAACAACAAAAGGTATTCATTTTTTCCAAGCCTATTACTTTCAGCTTTTGTAAGACAGAGCCCGGCAAATCTCTTTGAATTTCTGGCCTGTTCTAAATAGCAAGTTCCAGGCTAGCATGGATTATATAGCAAGAACCTGTTTCAAAAGAGTAATCATTTGATATTCATAATAACATGGTGGTTTGTATTTCTTGATAAGTCCTTATGTTAGTAAACTCAATTTCAGAAATGTCTTATAAGCACATGAAATACAGTGGTGAACCAAAATGGAGGGACTAAGTTACTAGTAAACAATTCATTTGTGTTGGTGTTGTTTGAATTAAAAATATATCTATCCCTTTGTAATTCCAAGTTAAACAAAATCAATAGTGTGGAATAAAATTGTCTTAACAAGTATCATATAATAAATCCAAAAATAGAAGTTTTTGTAAGTCTGGGTAATAAATATAGGGAATAGGCATGTGTCCTAGAAGTCATTTACTTACTGTGGCACCTTGAATAATTTACTGTATCTTCCTGTACTTTAGCCTTCCTCTAAAAGATAATAAAATTCTCTGCATTGTTAAATTTTTGTTAGGATAAATAAGTCACAATAATAAGTATAATAATAAGTCATTGAAATAGAACTTGCTCTAAAGTACTCGATACACGTTCTATCCTGATGTTATTATAATTATTACTATCATGATAATACACTAACTTAGGAGTCTGACTAATGAGCTATGTGTCATTTGTTGCATTTAACCTTTAAAGTTATCAGTACCTTCATTTATAACATAGTAACAATAATGTTGAATGAGCTAATTCACATAGTTTTTGAATAGAATTTCTCTTACAACAGAAACACAGAAATGGCTGTAATAGTAGTGTATGTTTCCTCTACAAAGGATATTGTGTTATGCCTCCAAACTATAAAACTGATATTGCAATAAAATTACTCATTTTTTTTTCTTTTTTCATTTATTTTACATTTTTTATTTAAAATTTTTGCTCTTATTCAAGTTCCCTCTACCTACCTCCCTCTGTCCATCCCTTCCTCTCTCTCTACCTCCCATGTCCCCCCCAAACCCTCCCATCCCACCACCCCACTCAACAGGGAAGATGATGCCTTATAGGAGGGATCAACAAAATCTGTCAAGTCATTTGGAATAGGGACTAGGCCCTCCCTCCTGTCTCTAGGTTAAAAAAAGTATCCCTCCATGGGGAATGTGCTCCCAAAATCCTTTTGTGCACCAAGAATATATCCTGGTTCCACTGTCAGAGTTTCCTTAGACTACCCAGGTCTTCTAACTGAGACCCAAGTTCAGGAGGTCTGAGTCAGTCCAATGCTGGTTTCCCAGCTATCAGTCTGGGGGCCCATTTGCTGCTCCTTGTTCAGGTCAGCTGTCTCTGTGGATTTCTGTAGCTTGGTCTTGTCCCCATTTTGTTATAATTCCTCCCTCTCTACATCTGGATTCCAGTTGGGCTCAGTGTTTAGATGTGGGTGTTTGCTTCTGTTTCCATCAGCTACTAGATGAGGGCTCTATGATAGTGGATAAGTTAGTTGTCAATCTTATTATCAGGGAAGAGCATTTATGGTAGCCTTTCCACTGTTGGTCAGATTGTTAGTTGGGTTCAGTCTTGTAGGTCTCTGGACATTTCTCTAGAGTCAGTTTTCTTGAAACCTACAGAGGCTCCCTCTTTTATGGTATCTCTCTCTCCCTCTCTCTTTTTATTCTCTTGTCTATTCCTCCCCTAACGCAATCTTCCTAGTCCCATGTGCTTTCCTCTCCTCCCCTTTCCTTTCTCCTAGCTCCCTCTCTACTCACTGCCCTCCCACTCCCAATATGCTCAGGAGGTCTTGTTCCTTTCCCCTTCTGTGAGGGACCTTGTATGAATCTCTTAGATTACTCCATGTATCCTAGTTTCTCTGGAGGTGTGAATTATAGGCTGATGGTTCTTTGCTCTATGTCTAAAATCCATATATGAGTAATACAATGTTCCTCTTTTTGAGACTGGGTTACCTCATTCAGGATGGTTTCTTCAAGTTCCATCAGCTTGCCTGTAAATTTCAAGATTCCATTGTTTTTTTTTTTTTTTGTTTGTTTGTTTTGTTTGTTTTTGTTTTTCTGCAGAGTAGTATTCCATTGTGTAAATGTGCCACATCTTCTTTATAATCTTCGTTATTTGTTCTCCAGTTGAGGGGCATCTAGTTTGCTTCCAGGTTCTTGCTATTACAAATAATGCTACTATGAACATAGTTGAACACATGTCTTTGTTGCATGTATATGGACCATTTGGGCATATGCCTAAGAGGGGGATTTCTGGGTCCTGTGTTATATTGATTCACATTTTCATGAGGAACCACCATATTGATCTCCAAAATGCTGTACATGTTTGCACTCCCACCAGCAGTGGGGGAGTGTTACACTTTCTCCATGTTCTCTCCAGCATAAGTTGTTCAACAATTAATAAATGGGACCTCCTCAAACTGAAAATCTTCTGTAAGGCAAAGGGCACAGTTGACAAGACCAAATGGCAGCCCACAGACTGGGAAAAGACCTTCACCAACTCTACATCTGACAGAGGGCTGATCTCCAAAATATACAAAGAACTCAAGAAACTAGTCAACAAAACACCATATAACCCTATTAAAAATTTGGGTACAGAACTGAAGAGAGAATTCTCAATATAGGAAATAAAAAATGCTGAAAGACACTTAAGAAAGTGCTCAATACCCTTAGCTATCAGGGAAATGCAAATAAACACAAGTCTGAGATACCCTCTTATTCTTTCCAGAACTCATTTTTTTTTCTTTTCCCATTTCATAGGATATAGACTGTATACTCTTGAGACTAGAAAGAAGCTTGGTTTGAAAGTATTTGGTCTCAAAGTTTTAATAATGAAAAAAGAATAAACCAGGCTACTCTGAAACCAATGGTCCATTTGAGGGTGTGAATAACATTCCAGTTAAAGAATTGCTAGATCTTTACTACTAATAATAATAATTTTAATAATAATAATAAAAACAAGTTTCAAATTCCAGACCCATTGAGATCTTATATAATTTAAATTTTTATAATAATCTTGAAATATACATATAGTAGTTTATGTGTGGCAGTGACTAAAGCAAGATAATACTGGTAAGTGATATGCCCTTTGGTCCCATGGTAGTTTGGTACTATTAAAATCTTATTTGTTTCATCCTTAAATATATATTTCACAGAGATTGTCTATCTTTGCTTCTCAAATGCTGGGTACACCACTATGTAGAGCAGAGGTAGACAATCTCTGTGAAATCCAGGCCAGTCTGGTGTATATACTGAGTTTATGGACAGCCAGAGCTACATAGTGAGAGTCTGTCTCAAACATAAAAAGCAAAGAACCAATGTTATGAAAGCTTGAGAGTGAAACTCAATGGTAGAATGCTTACCCAGAATGTCCCAGTTTCTGGGTTATATCCAAAGCACCCTAAAAAACTTTATGATCAATTCTAGTTATTCTATTCATTTTTAAAGCATAAGAAAAATATTAATAGTTTAATTTTATACAAGGACATGACCATAAGTACATGGAAATATATTAAAGAAGAATGTGAACTATAGCAAAAATAAATAGTAAGTCTTTATTGGGCTAATATGTTAACATCTCTAATCTACAACTCTTACTTTTGAAATGAAACAATTCAGTTTGGCATTTCTATGATCTTGTATCTAAGAAAAAGGAAGAGAGTCGCATTACAAAATTTAGTTTAGGACCAATGGTGATGCCTCTTTCATTCATATCATAATATCTATGTGGCTAGTTGCAATTACATTACTTCTACCATAACTCTGAGCCATTTATCTGGAGGCCATATAGACATAGACTTCTCATGTTAAGCTCTTTAATCAGTGTTTGGCTCATGCTTCACTCGTATGTAGCAAATTTAATGCTTTTTTTTTAGCATAAGCATAAATAAATCCTTAGAAAGTATTTCTAGCAGAAAGTTGATGAACCCAGTATTTTGATTTACACATAACAGTCAAGTCTATTACATACTTTGTTTACTTTTACCATAATTCTAACCACTCTGTTATATAATGCTAGTTAGTTATAACTGTGAGTCATTAGTCTGAAAGGGAACAAGGCAAATAAAGAAAACTCTCCATGTTAATGAAAGTTCATGGCTATAGCCTCAGACATTTGTAGGAAACACAATCTCTGTTGATTATTGCCAGGCTATATGTGACATTCTTCGTTGCTGCAGCACATAGGTGTCACAGCTGAGTGCAGTGTTTGGTTGTTTTCCCCATTTAGAAGTTTGTGTAGCAACTTTTGGTACCATGAAATCTTGTTCTTGGTGGGTGGGGAGTTTCAGGTTAGTTACAGATCAGATTCCCAGAGTCTAATGTACAAAGTGTCTTCTGAAAACGGGAGAAATGGTATTCCTCAAGGACAATTCCTCAGTTGCTTATCAAATACCAAGTCATCAGCCCTGAGATCACATACATACAAAATCCTATTAGAGGTAGTGAGAAAATTGTGTTAATATATTTAGGAATATATCCGTGTGTGTGTGTGTGTGTGTGTGTGTGTGTGTGTGTGTGTGTAACAATGTCAAAAAGAAGACATGAATTTTGAGAGAGCAATATGGGGTTGAATTGGAGGGGTTGAAGTGAAGAAAGGGGAAATGATATAATGATATTCAAATTTTAATAAAAATAAAATAAATCATAGTACATATTGCAAAAATGGATATGATATCAAACAATTGCATTCAGTTGTAGATGAAGAACTCAGTTGTAATATGTGTATTCTACATTTAGAAGAATGCAATGTGAAAGTAGGGAATTCAGCTTCTATCCTGAAAACCTGTGTTCACCATCATTGTGGCTGCATAGATGTAAAACCCACAATGGGAAAACCTACAGAAACAGCTTACTTG